TTCCACGCGCTGGTGAAGGGCGGCAGTATCGGGCTCGGCCTCAAGACTCTCGCAAAGGATATGGGTGTAGACCTCGAGATCGCGCTGGAGTGCGACGCGACGGCGGGCAAGGGCATCGCAGAACGTCGTGGGGTCGGACGAGTTCGACACCTTCATGCACTTCTGCTGTGGCTGCAGAGGGCTGCAGCAGAAGAAGCTGCGCGTCAACGAGATCGCAGGTCTCGAGAACATCAGTGACATCGGCACGAAGCACCTGGACGAGCCCCTGATTAAGAAGTTCTCGGCGATGATGGGGTTCGCGGCGAGGGCAGGTCGGAGCCGACTGGCCCTGCGGGCAGCGCTGGATGGATGAGTGGTGAGTGAGACATCCCTCAGAGCGCTTGAGCTGGCGGCGGCGTTTGGCCGCGCGCTTTTGATTCTGAGGAGTGGTGGGTCGCCGCGCTCCGCTGACTCTGTGCCGGCCGAAAGAGTCGGCGGCCCCCCGCGCGGAAGGGGCGCGGAAGGCCGGGGGGGCTGGATAGATTTGCAGCCTCCCGAGAGACATGTTGGACGGGCCGATATCGTTTCGGCTCGAGCGTTTTGGAGAGAATAATTATCCATCTGGGTTGTGGCAGGCGTTCATTTGGAGTTTTATCTTTCAGGTGGTATCGTTGCCCATTTGGTCCCCGTGTCCATGGGGTGGGGCCCCCTCGTGATTGCTTGTAGTTGCCTGGTGCCGTGCGCGATTTCGACTGGGTTGTTCGTGGGCATATCGGGGGGGGGCCTTTCATGTGTATTCATTGCAAGCAGATCTGGAGCGGCTTATTGAACACAGCTATGGAACAGATACGGTGGAGCTCCCACTCGGGATTACAGTTTCAGCGTGCCCTCGCTTTCACCAGATGGTGGGGGGCGAACGCGTGATAGGTCAACAGCTTCGGAGTGTTCTTGTTCCAGGGGGTCGCGCAACGTTGGATGACATGTTGTCGTGCGCAACCAACGGCGTTTTCAAATCTAGCTTGACCACTTTTGAACACCCTAATGGCTGCTCCTTGGATGCGATGCTTGTTCCTTGCAGCAGGAATTCCAGAACTGTGAAAGTGCACGTTCAATCCCAAGGCGAAGTTCGGCACGTGGACATTGAGGAATGGAGAAGCCAGACAGGACTCCCGCGTGAAACCATGGAGCCCTCTGTAGATTTTGCCACAGGGGCGTCATCCTTGAACTACGCATGGCGATGCCAACGTTGCCTCGCGTCCGCTCGCGACTGGGGGAATGCCACAACAGAAAATGCTGACGGCATCTCGCTGCCTAGTTTGCCTCCAGCAACACCGCGATCTACCGCAGATCCTGGGCCAGGATTGTCGCTGCGCAGGGCGCTGCTGCGCAATGGTCATCGCGAGTTTTTTCTCGCGGAATTGCAGAGGGGGCGTCCATTATTGTACCACGAGACTACATTCACTCTGCAACAGTGGGATCACACTGCAACCCAGCTTGCGACACAAGCACGGCGGCTCACGGCCCCTCCCCGTACCAACCTTTTCGTCCGTCACCGCCTGCTCTCGCCGACGCGCTTGTGGCGCCCTTCTGGCCTGGTGCTCGACCCTTGACCAGCACCGTCGTCGTCGTCGTCGTCGCCGCCCGCTCCTCGCCGACCCGCTTGTCGTGCTCCTTTGACCTGGTGCTCAAGCCCCTTGGCCAGTCGTCGTCGTCGTCGTCGTCGTGGTCGTCGTCGTCGTCGTCGTCGTCGTCGTCGTCGTCGTCGTCGTGGTCGTCGTCGTCGTCGTCGTCGTCGTCGTGGTCGTCGTGGTCGTCGTCGTCGTGGTCGTCGTCGTCGTCGTCGTCGTCGTCGCGGTCGTCGTCGTCGTCGTCGTCGTCGTCGCGGCCGCGGTCGAGGTCGGGATCGCGGTCGCGGTCGTTCGCCGTCGACGTTTTCGTCGCACGGGAGGACGGGGGCGGAAAAGGGGGAACGACGACGAAAACGACGACGACGACGACGATGAAGTCACCCGCTCATTTTTTGGGACCCGTCACTTTAAAATTACAATATTTCAGCGATCAACGCAGCTTCTGGCGCTTTGACGTGCTTGCGGGAACAGCGGCCTTTTTGGCCAATGCGGACAGGGTGGCAACCTTGTACACAACTGTGTCTTCCTGCTCATTGTAGGAGGCCTGGCGATAAGACAGACAATGGACGGCGGCGCAGAAGCGTACGTCGCGCTCACCGCACCTTACATCCAGTGGCAACCTTTGTCAGCTTTGACAGTTCTTCAACACTAGTTTGTCTTCGTCTTCATAATCGTGATTGAAAATGATGCACCACGTGCGCTGGGCAGGGGACGTTATTGATTTTCCAAACAGCTTCTTGTGCGTGTATGACAAGAACGCAGACAAACTTTGGTATTGCATTTTTTTGTGCACCACGTGTATGCCAGCAGCGGACGAACGCCCCTGCACCGGGGCATCGGTGTCCTTTGCCCAATACCCTTTCACAAGACAGAATATCATAGTGAACAGGTGCGCCGAAAGCATTTGATGTATCCCTTCACCCCGCAACTTCTGAAGAAGAGCTGACACCGTTTTGACCTTGAACTTCTCCGCAATGTCTGCGCGACAATTATTCTCATCGGGGCCAGGCAGGGTCTCGATCAGGTCTTCGGGGTCAATATCCAGGCGGTCAACGCCGTTGACGTGCATAAACGCGTCAATCAGAGACCGCGCCGCCCATTCACTACAGTAGCATACGCTGGACATTCCCACTACGCGGTGCCGATTGAAGCACGTCACGACGTAGGACATCATCTGCTTGTACGCTAGCAGGCTCTCCGGTGGCCCCAAAGAACACACGGCCTCGACGGCATCATGTAGCTGCAGGAATTTGTCAATTTCCTCTCTGGCTGCTGGTGTGAACTGTATTTTTTTGTACGCGTTTCCAGTGCATCCTAGTTGAATGGTGTTGCGCCCAGGCTGCGCTGGCTCTATCACGCCGAAGCGCTGCATTTGTACCAAGAAGCCATGTTGTTTGAGTGGCCCCCCTATGGCGGAGGTCTCCTCTTCGAAAATATCACCTGCCTCAGCCACTCTGTCAACAAGCTCACTGAATATGTTGAACATGTCTTTTGTCAGGGACCTGTTACCCACCACTAACTTGCGAAAGTTCGTTTGCAGAAGTGCCAAGAAATCGTTGCGAGCCTGTGGGATTTTGATCACTACGCACATTACAATAATACCTTTTTGCGATTGGCAGACCTTAACCAAGTCTGGCATGATATCCCCCATATTTTGGATATCCAAAGGAACATACTGAGCAAACTCATCGAACCATGATGCCCATTCCGCGCGCGATGGGTAAGTATTGTCAGGCATTCTCCCAACGGTTCACGGCCTTGCGCCGCGTGCCTGGGCCAAAATGCGCAACGGAGGTCATGTAAGTTTGGTGCTGTGTTGCACTGCCCCTCTCCGCACCCAAAAGGTGCATCAATATTCGGTGAATCACGTTGAGTGCACCACGTAGACTGCATCACACAGACTTGCACCTTATAGGTTGCACCACATGGCATACACCACGCGTATTGCACCACATGGCGTGCCACAGTACACCCAGCACGTTACTTAACTTGGGTTGCGGCACAGGTTATGTACGCTTTTGCGGATTTCGGAGTCCACCCAGAAGCTTACATAACTCATCTCAAATTCAAAGTTATGTGAGCTTTTGTGGGTTTTAGAGTCCACACAGAAGCTTACATAACTTTGAATTTGAGAAGGGTTATGTAAGCTTTGAGCATTTTGCCTTCACCCTAAAATATCAAACAACTTCGCATTGCGACCCGAGTTATGTAAGCTTTTGCGGATTTCGGAGTCCACCCAGAAGCTTACATAACTCATCTCAAATTCAAAGTTATGTAAGCTTTTGTGGGTTTTAGACTCCACCCAGAAGCTTACATAACTTTGAATTTGAGAAGGGTTATGTAAGCTTTGAGCATTTTGCTTTCACCCTAAAATATCAAACAACTTCGCATTGCGACCCGAATTATGTAAGTTTTTGCGGATTTCGGAGTCCACCCAGAAGCTTACATAACTCATCTCAAATTCAGAGTCGTCGCCGTACCGTGATCACCACTACTACTACTAGCTACTGCTGCTGCTGATTGATGCTGGTGAAGCTGGAGTCCAGGGCAGCGGCCCCAGGGAGGCTCCTGGAAAATTTAAAAAATTAAAACATTTTTTTTTTTTTTTTTTTAAAAAAAAAAAAAAAAAAAAAAAAATAGAGCACCAGGCGAAACCTGCATTTTCAGCCACTGTTCCAAGGATTGGCGATTTCGCCTGGTACTCTATTTAATTTTTTTTTGTAATTTTTATTTTATTTTTTTTTAAAAAAAAATTCTTAAATTTCCCAGGAGCCCCCCCCCCCTCCCCCCGGCGGCGAGCTGGAGTCCAGGGCGGCGGCCCCAGGGAGGCTCCTGGAAAAATGAAAAAAAAAAAAAAAAAAAAAAAAAAAATTAAATAGAGCACCGGGCGACACCTGCATTTTTCAGCCACTGTTCCAAGGATTGGCGATTTCGCCTGTTTTTTTTTTTTTTTTTTTTTTTTTTTTTTTTTTTATATATATAAAAAAAAAAAAAAAAAAAAAAAAAAAAAAAAAAATCCCAGGAGCCCCCCCCCCTCCCCCCGGCGGCGAGCTGGAGTCCAGGGCGGCGGCCCCAGGGAGGCTCCTGGAAATTAAAAAAAAATAATAAAATTTAAAAAATTTACAAAAAATTAAATAGAGTACCAGGCGACACCTGCATTTTTCAGCCACTGTTCCAAGGTATGGCGATTTCGCCTGGTACTCTATTAAATTTATTTAATTTTGTTAATTTTTTTATTTTTTTAAATTTTCCAGGAGCCCCCTCCCTCCCCAGGCGGCCAGCTGGAGTCACGACGGCGGCCCCAGGGAGGCTCCTGGAAAATTTAGAAAATTAAAAAAAAAAAAAAAAAAAAAAAAAAAAAAAAAAAAAAAAAAAAAAAAAAAAACAGAAAAGCTGATAAAAAATAAAATAAAACATCAATAAGGTTGGTACCGGGAGGGGCCGTAACCGCACGGCGCTTAGCAGAGCAGAGGCGCCGTGGAGAATTTGACGAGGCGAGCGCATTGATCCTAGATTTGCAACTTGTGGCTTTGCGTGTATCGTCGCAGTTTTGGAGCCAGGGGCGTAGGTATTGCGACGTGTTGGCCAATTGTGATAAGTTTTGTCCTTGGTATTGATCCTCTTAACCATATCGTGAGCGTTTTGCCTTTACTGCGGCTGATTTCTCCGCCGTTGCCAAATATTGAAAGCCACCGTGAGTGGACCGCGCGCGTGTGGACTATGGTGGCGCGCCGCGTACCGTGGGTGCCTCCAATGGCCAACTACTAGCGCTATCAGGGCCATCAATCAAGCGGCCCGCGGCAAGCCCTGCCGCTGTGCCAGCCCAACATGGTCGAGACGAAGCTGGCGCCCGATACCATCATCTACAGCGCTGGCCTCTGCGCATGCGAGAAAGGTCAGAAGTGGCAGCAGGCCCTGTCGCTGCTCAGCGGCATGGTCGAGACGAGGCTAGAGCCCACTGCCATCAGCTACAACGCTGGGAGGAACGTCGGCGAGAAAGGTCAGCTGTGGCAGCGTGGCAGCGGGCCATGTCGCTGCTCAGGCGCATGGTCGAAACGAAACCTGTGCCGGACACCATCGTCTACAATGCTGGGATGAGTAGCAGCGGGCCCTGATGCTGCTCAGCGTCGTGGTCGAGACGAAGCTGGAGCCCGATACCATCATCTACAACGCTGGGATCAGCGCGTGCGAGAAAGGTCGGAATTTGCAGCAGGCCCTGTCGCTGCTCGACAAGATGGGCGAGACAAAGCTGGAGTCCAGTGCTTGGATGAGCGCTTGCGAGAAAGGTCAGCAGTGGCAGCGGGCCCTGTCGCTGCTTAGCGTCATGGTCGAGACGAAGCTGGAGCCCACTGCCATCAGTTACAACGCTTGGATCAGCGCATATGACAAAGGTCAGCAGTGGCAGCGGGCCATGTTGCTGCTCAGCTGGATAGTCGAGACGAAACTTGATGTCCATACCATCGTCTACCATGTTTGGATCCGTGCTTGCAGAGAGGTCAGCAGTAGCAGCATGCCCTGTCGCTGCTCAGCGAGATGATCGAGACGAATATGGAGCCCGTTGTCATCAGCTATCGTTCTGGGATGAACGCTTGCGAGAAAGGTCAGCAGTGGCAGGAATTGGAGGTTGACCTTTCGCTTCCAGACAAAACCAACAACAAAAAAGAGGCAGCCAAAAAGGACCCAACAGGCGCCGTAGCCATGTTCCTGGAAAGGGCGTGGGCCCAGGGTTTTCTTTTGGTTGATTGACGCCCCAGCCTCGACTTGCGTAGGGCCGACGACTTTATTCTGCGATGAAGAACGAGTTTGCGCAGGGGCGGCGAATCAACAAATTGAGGATGTCCCGAGCGAGACGCGTTTTGGCATTCCGATCGATAAAACACATTGTAAAAACACATGTTCGTTGTTTTGTGGATGTCTCGATCGAAACGCTTGGGTTGCAGAATTTGTTTGTGTTGTGTTATAGTTGTTGCCTCTCCTGGGGGGCAAGAATTCAGAGGATGTCTCAGGTGACATGCTTGCTTTCACGTGCTCAGTTCTTGGGGATGTCTCGAGCGAGACGCGCGTCCAGGGTGCCAAGGCAGATGTCTAGCATGAGGATGTGTTGAGGATGTCTGAGGATGTCTAGAGCGAACCGTTTGGTGTCACGTGTCCAGGTCGCCCAGGTGGATATTTAGCATGAGGATGTGTTGAGGATGTGTTGAGCGAAACGCTTGTGTTCACGTGTCCAGGTCGCCCAGGTGGATACCTAGCAGGAGGAGGTCCTGAGAACGTATCGAGTAAAACGCTTGTTTTCACGCAAACAGGTCGCCCAGGCGGATGTCTAACATGAGGATGTGTTGAGGACGTCTAGAGCGAACCATTTGGTTTCGAGTGTCCAGGTCGCCCAGGCGGATGTCTGGCATGAGGATGGGTTGAGGATATCTCGAGCGAGACGCTTGCTTTCAAGTGTCCAGGTCGCCCAGGTGGCTGCCTAGCATGAGGAGGTGTTGAGGATGTCTCGAGCGAGACGCTTGTCTTCACGCGTAAAAAGGTCGTCCAGGCGGATATCTAACATGAGGATGTGTTGAGGATGTCTAGGACGAATCGTTTGGTTTCACGTGTCCAGGTCGCCCAGGCGGATGTCTGGCATGAGGATGTGTTGAGGATGTCTCGAGATAGATTCTTGTTTTCACGTGTCCAGGTCGCCCAGGTGGATGTCTAACATGAGGATTTGTTGATGATGTGTTGAGCGAAACGGTTGTCGCAGTAGAGTGCATCGCAGTCCAACCCCGCCCGTCCGTAGGGCGCGCACTGGCGCGTCCCTTGGCGCGTCCCCTGCGACGTTCTGGCGTGACGTGCCGTGGCACGTCTCCTAGCACGCCACTCGGCGTGGCACCTTCCTTGGCTCGTCCCGAGTCGCGTTTCCTGGCTCGTCCCCAGGCGTGTTCTTGCCCATTCCGTGGCGCGCCCCTTGCAACGTCTTTTGGCATGACGTCCTCTAGCCGCCCCATGGCACGCGCCTTGGCAGGTCCCGTGGCAGGTCCCTGACACGTGCAGGGCACGTCCTCTGATACGTCCCCTAATACGCCCCCTGGCGCATCCCCCACTGCGCCGCTGGCACATCCTGTGGCGCGTCCGTGAGCCTGTGCCCCGCAACGTGTCGTTCCTTTTCGGAGCTGAGTCGGATTTTGAGGTCGAGTTGATTGAACGTCCCGCACGTTTCCACTTCAACCAGTTCTGGGGCAGCTACTATGCGCTCAGGCAGCTCGAGCTTAAGATCCAGATCAGTTCGTTCAGGACTCGGATGCAAAGGAGGACTCGATCCACAATGCTATAGAGCACAATCACGGCATGGCACATCGCAATTCAGCATGGCGTAGCACAGCACAGCCTTTGGTACGGTACATCAAGATCGATGCGCTCAGTATTGCAATTTCCCGTCGCCCAATCAGGTGTCCTTGAAATCGGTGCCATGCCTCACATTTCTATATTCCTTTCCGGGGCCGTGGGTCGATCATGTTGGCTCAAGGTGACTTCACCCGCGTCCAATACTGCACACGATGTCTTGTACCCTACCCAGTGGGTGATTGTAGCTGGCCGTTCATCAGGCAAATCATGCGCGTGTGTACCGCTGCTGTGCAGGTAGCAGTAGTTCATGCATTGCGAACTTCCCCGACTGTGTTGCGGTCGGAAGCGGTTCCATGTCGCAGTACAGCTTCACCATTCCAAGATTCAAGTTTTTCTCTTATGTGGGACCAGATCGATAAAGGTACTTGGCCATATATGTATCACGGTCAGCCCATCTACATGGGGAGATATGAGCAGCCAGCAAAATATGCAGATCGTCCAGGCGAACGTTCACCCAAACGCATCAAAGTTGGATGTGACGCAACTGATCCTCACGGCCACATGTGTATTTTCTTTGCTGGCACGTTGATGCGTGCGGTCTTTCCAAGCGCTGACATTGAGATCATACCTGGGCCGTCAAACAGAAGCCAGGAGGCTGATATTGCTTTTATAGCCCAGCATAATGCAGCTGACGATGTTTGCATGCCTGAGCGTCGTTACCAAGAGGATCTCGCTCCTTTCAACCATACTCCTGGTTGGAACAATGGCGTGTTGTGGCCTCCAAATGGGAAAGTTCGCTTGCACAAAAAAAAACGCCCATTTTGTGTTTGCCAAGAATATGAAGCATCAGTTCCAAACTTCGTCCCTGGACAATGTGACGCGCACATAGCGCCTTTTCATAACTATCTGTTCGTTGACGAACATAGTCAGGGCCCCGTTATTTACATGCCGGAGTCTTATCGTGATTTTGGAATGCGTTGGTTAAACACCCCTCTGGACGCGACATTTGATCGCACTGTCCATGATGACGCCACCGCGTCGCAGCCGCTGTCAACAATTTGCAAGACCAGTCGATTGACCAAAGACAAGTTCATGGCTTTCATGCACGGCACATGTTGGAAAGACCATTACTCAACTGCTGATTTCTGGCTGCGTATTGCGCTATTCGATGAGTTAGCTGAACATTATAAGGCACCAGATGCTCTGGCTGAGTGCAGGGGCCGTCCAGCCTCCAAGGGCCCCCCAGATTCTTGGGAGTCTGTGGCACAGAAGATGATTGAATACAATTTGTCGCTGCAGAGCCGTAGAGACATACGAAGGTTCCATCCCGCTACTTGGGCAGATGAGGCTGTACTCGCGTGGGAACCATTCAGATTTGCAGTTGTGTTTCAAAATTCGCATGAAGCTGGAGGCGTGTCAGAAAAGATCGTACACGCGTGGTTGGCAAGATCAGTGCCGGTTTATTCGATCGCTTCGCTCAGTCCGTTAGCCCGTATTGCGTAAACGTCGGCGTTTGGGTGCGCGTTCGTGGGCCATGCGGCGCTGCTGGTCGGCGCTGCTGCGGTTGTGGGTGGGACTCCTCATGGATGCTCCTGTGTAGCAATTTTAGGGGCTCTTGGGAGCCGCCTGGGGGCGCCTTGGATGCCTCTTCTTGGGGCTCCCTTGGCGCTTCTTGGGGGCCCTTTGTACCCTGTTATTGGGGAGGCTCTTGGGGGCCGCTTCGGAGTCTGGTGGGGCCTACTGGGGAGCTCCTCGGAGGCCTGGGAGTGAGGCTCTGGGGGCGATTCTGAGGCCGAACGCTCGAAATGTCCATTGGGGACCCCCTCGAGGGGTCTGCCTGAAGGTGTCTGTGGACTCTCCAGCGCCGCCTTGGGAGATACTTGGGCCGTCTTGGAGTCCCCGCGGGCCGTTTTGGGGCTCTCTTGGAAATTTACTAGAACTTCTTGGAGCGATCTTAGGGGCTTCGTGGGCCGTCTGAGAGCGTCGGCGGCCGAAAAACGCTGAACATCTTCAAAAACGAATTAGGCGGCCTCTTGGGAGTGGTCTCGGAGGCATCTTCGGGCGTCTTGGAGGCAGTTGAAGCCGTCTGGAGGCGATCTTGGCCATCTTGGAAGACTTCCAGTGACTCTGGGCCCGCTCAGGCCGCCTTGGGGGCCTCTTCGGACGCTCTCGAAGGCCCTGAAGGCAGCCCCCCAGGAGTTCCGGCAGCCGTGACGGGGACCGCCCTGGACTCGCCTGGGGACCGTCCAAGGTTTGCACGGGGTGCTTTTCGTCCAGGGACCCCCAGGGGCAGCAACGCGCGCGCGAATTAGAAGTATTGTCAACCCGCATAGTAAGGATGGTCAACCTTCCCAAGGGTACCATGGCATCCTTGCCTCCTCCGTCCATCCTTGGCCACTTTCGTTGGCCGCGCCCCGCTCGGAAAGCTTCGAAATGGGCGTCCCAGGCCCTTGCATCCTTATCGCGCATCCTTCTGATACGGGCCGGCTGTACTATTCGTCCGGGGACCCCCAGGGGCAGCCACGCGCGCGCGAACCAGAAGTGTTCGGAAATTGTTACCCTAGAGCTCAGCACGCCTTTGGCCCGTGGGGCCGGCGAGTTTTGGACCCTCAGACGCCCTGGTGGATCACAACCCCGACAGTTTTATCAACTGTGGGTTCACCAATTTGGATTCCAACTTGGATACGATCTGGAAGTTGCAAAAGGAGCTTGAGCGCAAGATGGAGAGCGAGGGCCGCGTCGTCGGAGAGTTTGTGGGCGGCCGCCAGTACGCGGAGGAGTCCCCTGAGTTCGAGAGCATAGTGAAGCTCACACGAGACATGTTTGTTGGCGATTTCCAGGAGTGCGTGAAGAAAATCAGAGAGGTCGATGAGGACGAAAAGGCTTGGTTGCGCATGGTTCACACGCCGGTCCTCAAAGACAATTCGCTCGAGGGATCTGTTTTTGACATGCACACGTATGCGCAGCGCCTTCGCGAAGTTCTTCGAGCCACGGGCAGTGGACTTTCCCCATAGTGGATCGCCAGGCAAAATAGGCTCCAGACGTTCTGATGGTGCCCTCATCAAAAGAAAGAGGCCCCAGCAGGGGCTTCGAGATGGGCCCCTAGAGGCATCCAGGAGGCCCTCAAAAAGCTCCCCAAGATACCTAAAAGGACCCCAAACGGCTTCAGGAAGCCCCCAAGACGCCTCCAAGATGGTTCGACACGCCCCCAAGAGACTCCCACAAATGCCTTGAAGAGGCCCCCAAGAGGCTCCAGGAGACCCCTGGTCGGGGCAGAGAGGAGAGCAGCATTCATATTCTTGACGCTTCGCGTATCCCCACCAGTATGCGGAGACAGGCAGACAGGCGTTCCTACAGCTCCTCATTCCTATCAGCGTGTGGCACGAGCTCAAGCTATCACATTGCCAGTCGCCGGGGCTGTCGGCCACCACCTCATATCCCATTGCTCCTCCCCTGGCAACAGTATCGTGGCGACAGGCGGGAGGGCTGCTGAGGGAGCGCCCGCGGTCGGAGACCAGCCTCCTCCCGACAAAGACGGGCCTTCAGCCCGGGGAGCGCCGCGCGAGACAGCAGGAATGGACGAGCCTGTAGCTCGGGATTCTTGAAATGGACAGATGGACGTTGACGGCGGCACGGCTGCCAATCAGGTCCCTGGCCATCCCTGTAATCCCGAGGACTCCCGTCTTTCATCCGCCCCCCGAGCTGACAGCCACAGACGGGGCGAGCCTTCAGCTCGGAAGTCACAGGCGGGACGAGCCTTCAGCTCGAGTCTCCAAGGCGTATCTGACAGTTACAGAAGGGACGAGCCTTCGGCTCGAGAACCAGAGACGACGCCCATGGATGCCGAGAGCGCCGCAGAGACTGTGGCCATGAGTGGCGGCGGCGGCATTCTCGAATATCGGCTCAGGAGCTTGTCCAACGAGGGCGGAGGGCCTGTGCTTGAGGCTGCCCAGAGGGGTGGCGGCGGCGATGATGGGTGGGTGGACCGACCGCTGTCCGCCCACGTGATGGGTGGGTGGACCGACCGCTGTCCGCCCACGTCCCCGATCCACATCCCATTGGCTCACGCCCACACTCCGCCGACCCCCCTCCTTTGGACGCGTCAAGACAGAGAGGGGCAGCCTTCAGCTGCGAGGGGGTCGATCCTTGGTCTGTGGAGGCCTCCGTCCTGGTCGCGCAACCGACCCCTCCAACTGATTTGAGCCGACGTCCAAACGGCTCCCGCCTTCCGCCTGCCGCCTCCCCCGGGCACGACAATATTGCACGCGCTGAAGTCGGGCCTTCAGCCCGGGGAGCGCCGCGCGAAGCAGCAAGAGTTCCTCATTCCTCTCAGCGTGTGGCACGAGCTCAAGCTATCACATTGCCAGTCGCCGGGGCTGTCGGCCACCACCTCGTATCCCATTGCCCCCCCCCCCATGGCAACCGTATCGCGGCGACAGGTGGGAGGGCTGTTGAGGGAGCGCCCGCGGTCGGAGACCAGCCTCCTCCCGACCAAGGCGGGCCTTCAGCCCGGGGAGTTCCGTGCGAGACAGCTGGAGTGGACGAGCCTGTAGCTCGGGATACTTGAAATGGACAGATGGACGTTGACGGCGGCGCAGCTGCCAATCAGCTCCCTGGTCATCCTTGTAACCCCGACGACTCCCGTCTTTCATCCGCCCCCCAAGCTGACAGTCGCAGACGGGTCGAGCCTTCAGCTCGGGAGTCACGGGCGGGACGAGCCTTCAGCTCGAGTCTCCAAGGCGTATCTGACCGTTACAGAAGGGACGAGCCTCCAACTCGAGAGCCAGAGACGACGCCCGTGGATGCCGAGAGCGCCGCAGAGACTGTGGCCACGAGTGGCGGCGGCATTCTCGAAGATCGGCTCAAGAACTTGTCCAACGGGGGTGGATGGCCTGCGCCTGAGCCCGACAAAGCCGGGCCTTCAGCCCGGGGAGTTCCGTGCGAGACAGCTGGAGTGGACGAGCCTGTAGCTGGGGGTTCTTTACGTAGACAGATGGACGTGGACGGCGGCACGGCTGCCAATCAGCTCCCTGGTCACCCCTGTAATCCCGATGACACCCGTCTTTCATCCGCCCCCCAAGCTGACAGCCGCAAACGGGACGAGCCTTCAGCTCGGGGGTCACAGGCAGGACGAGCCTTCAGCTCGAGTCTCCAAGGCGTATCTGACAGTTACAGAAGGGACGAGCCTTTTGCTCGATAACCAGAGACGATGCCCATGGACGCCGAAAGCGCCGCAGAGACTGTGGCCATGAGTGGCGGCGGCATACTCGAAGATTGGTTCGGGAGCTTGTCCAGCGAGGGTGGATGGCCTGTGCTTGAGGCTGCCCCGCGGGGTGACGGCGGTGATGATGGATGAGTGGACCGACCGCCGTCCGCCCACGCCCCCGATCCACATCCCATTGGCTCACGCCCACACTCCGCCGACCCCCCTCCTTTGGACGCGTCAAGACAGAGAGGGGCAGCCTTCAGCTGCGAGGGGGTCGATCCTTGGAGGCCTCCGTCCTGGTCGCGCAACCGACCTCTCCAACTGACTTGAGCCGACGTCCAAACGGCTCCCGCCTTCCGCCTGCCGCCTCCTTCGGGCACGACAGTATTGTACACTCAGAAGGCGGGCCTTCAGCCCGGGGAGCTCCTCATTCTTATCAGCGTGTGGCGCGAGCTCAAGCTATCACATTGTCAGTCGCCGGGGCTGTCGGCCACAACCTCTTCCACACTCTGTGCAGCCTTCAGCTGCCTCCCTGGGTTGCGTTACTCGTGCTGCGGCCTTATGTCGCCCTCCCTGGTACACGCACTTCCTGCCTTTGGACCCAAGTGTGTTTACCAGCAATACCGTCTGCATGGCAGCGCTGGGGCGTGTTGCGTGCAGGCCATAGTTGGCCCCTGGCCCCGCTGTAGTTGTTTTCACCTCTGGCCCTGGCGGACTTCGCCCCCCGGCCTCGCGGCTCTGTGACCGACGCAAAGATGGGTTCGCCTCGTCACTGTCCAGAGCCGCGCCCAAATTCACTCCGGCTTCTCCTGGTGTGGCCGCGATCCGGCCTTCCAGCGGGCAGCCTTATCCCTGGGTTTCCCCAAGATACTACGGCCTTCAGCCGCTTTCTGCGCCTTCCCTGGGAGCGACCCTGGGCTTGGGCTTATCGTCAGTGGGTCTCAACGTTGCTCAGGCGGTCTCCGTGGTTGTGGTGCGCCCCGCTTCGTTGGCTGGATTGCCCACCCGGAGGTCGCTGCGGCCGTACTCGGACTCTGGGTCGCAGGTGTGCTCCCGTGCATGACTTGCCACAGTTCGGCAGCGGCTGGCCCAGGCCGTGCCCGCACCTGTGGCTAGTGGTGCACCGCTCGCCGCAAGGATCCGTATACACTGACGTCACCCCATCGTCGCTCCCACGCTCAACCTTGTTGAGCGGTCACTTCCTGGGCTTCTTCGTGACAGCGGACGGTTGCTTGTGCTGCAGCGGGTATGCGTCAGCGCAGCTTTCTCATAACGCCATTTCCACGTTCTCTGGTCCGCCGGGGTATCCTGGAGAGCTGCTCTTCGGTATGTCACTTAGTTGTTTGCTGGTACACGCCCAGTCATCTTCGGTTGGCCCTCGTGTCTCGCGCCGAGGTCGGGAACTGGTGTACCTTCCGCACTGCGTCACATCATGTCGTTGATCTTTCGCGTGCGAACGCATGCCTACGGTCCCGCTCGTACCCGGCAGACACCCTGGGCCCCTGACGCCCCTCGTGCACGGAAACAGATCCCCACTACGGTCTCGCTCATACCCGGCAGACGCCCTGGGTCTCTGACATTTTTCCTGCACGGTGCTGGACGACGTCAGCTCTCTTGCCTACGGTCTCGCTCATACCCGACAGACACCCTGGGCTACCGACGCACTCCTTGCACGGAAACTTCTTGGGCATTTTCGTGACTACGATTGTTTGTGCTGCAGTGGGTATGCGGCTGCACAGCTTTCTCTGAGCGTTATTTCTTTTCTGGTCTTTCAGAGTCTCCTGGAGAGCCGCTCTTTGTTTTGTCACTTAGTTGCTTCCTGGTACACGCCCTGTCACCTCGGATGCCGTCGGGTCTCTCGCCAAGGTCGGGAGCAGGTGTACCTTTGCACTGCGTCACATCATGTCTTTGATATTTCGCGTGCGAACGCATTCTTCCGCTGTTGGTTTGAGGGTTTATTCCGGTTGTCATTGACCTCAGGCGTGCCTTTTCAGCCGCGTGGATGCGTACTCAGAAGCTGCGACGGTTCGCTGGCGCTGTCAGAGTCCCTTCTCCCTGCTGGACGACGTCAGCTCTCTTGCCTACGGTTTCGCTCATACCCGACAGACACCCTGGGCTACTGACTCACTTTTTGCACGGAGTCAGAACCCCACTACCCTGTGATCGTCGGACCGACACGATCCTTGACTGGGGTGTGCGTCGCGCCATTTTGGCAGCGTCCTCCCTGCTTCCTGGGTGGCTGTTTTTCTTCAGACTCCCTGGGCTGCAGCTTGCACCGCCGCCTGATCCGCGGCCCCCGCGCGCGCTCGGCGAATTCGTCACGGCCGCAGCCCGACCGTGACCCGCCGCCGCCGGCGCTTCCGCCTGCGGCTGTAATAAAAAATATATCCCCACCAGTGCCCTCGACGACTGTTGAGGTGGGCCGACGACGTGCAGTGTGGTTCTGGCCTAATACTTTTGGGTCACCTCCTGGGGACGAGGTGTACCCCTCCCAGCACTGCGTATTGGTACAGTGCTCGCCTGGGATGGTGGGGGTTTCCGGCCCAAGGCCCACCCCATACGTTCCACTCGACGCCTTCTGAAGGCTGGTCCTCTTGCCCAGTGGCTGTTCCCCCCACTTGTCAAGCACCGATTGGCTCCTCGACCACCACCTGCGGGTGGTTCAATAAAGGCACACACGTGCACAAGTGGTTGATCCTTTGGCAGGCCCAGCCTTTCCACGACGTGCCCGTTCCGCTATACGGCGCCGTCGCCCTGGAGGACGGCTTCCTGTACAAGTGGCGCATCCTTTGGCAGGTCCGTGCCCCTTCTTGGCAGGCGTTTCCCGGTTCCCGGCGTTGCCAGCGACATTTGCTTCTTCCTCTGGTAGAGGCTCACGCTCGCGAGCGCCATCGACGCCTTGCCCTTCTGCGATGATCAGGTGGTGCACTCCTGCCCGCAGTTCCCCCCTGGCGAGGCTGTGAGCACTGGTGGTTGTGACGTGGCCCCCACGCGACGTTCATCCCTGTCTTTGGTGGTGGTGGTTGCCGCTCGGGATTGACGACTTGTCCACCATTGATTGGGTCAGTGACGGCCCGCCTTCGAGCACCTGGTGCTCCGTGAGTGAGGCATCTTTCTTTTCCCCCCCTCGTCCCTTCCTCCTGTCGCCCTGCTCTGCGCCCGGCCTT